CCCCCTCCCCAAAACGCCCGAGAAACGCGGGGACCTCATTATTGAGTTCGAAGTGATCTTCCCTGAAAGGATCCCCCAGACATCAAGAACCGTACTGGAGCAGGTTCTTCCGATATAGTCACCAGGGTTTCCCAAGGACTGACCGGGGACCTTTCCAGAGCTCAAGGATTTCCAGACTGTTCCACCAGTTGTGGACCCATGAGAGGGCGGGAGGGCCCAGGGAGGGCTCTCGTACTGCTGAATGTTTTCCAGAGAATATATTACAATCTTTCAAAGTCGTGCACTAGACTTAAGTGGTTTTTCGAGCGATAGGGCGGCAGGTGGTGGGGACCGCAGGAAAAGGCCTTCCAGTCTGTCCCACTGGGTCCTGCAGCCCTCCTCGGATGGGCCCACGCCCTCCTCCAGGCCCTGCCTGTGGGCGAGAGGCAGACCCACAGCTGGGCTTGATCCGTCTGTAGCCCTTTGCTTGTGCGGCCATTAGTTGGTATCAGCCCGCCGTCTCGGTTCCCAGGCCCTGTTCGCTCCTCAGTTTTTGTTGTGTGATCAGTTCGTGTCTTATTCTGTATTTGTCTCCCACGTCTTGCTGTTCCTCTGAAGAATCCTATTTTCTCTTTCGCCATCTCAAATTGAGAACTGACCTAGACTGTTTTTGCAAAACTGCCTGGCCGCCACCACAAGCAACACCTCGTTCCAGCAGGACCAAGGGCGCCGGCCTCGTGTGAATGAGCTGCGCAGACGCTTCTCCCTGGGGGGCCTGGGGCCCTGGACAGAGCTGGGGGCCTTCTCGACCCCCGACTCCGAGGCCAAGTGCGCTCACTTAGGGGTCATACTCTTTCTTTCTTCTGTAAGGCAATCTTTAGGCACACCTGGGACTTACCGGCGGCCCGGGTAATTTTGTGTTTAACGGACTCTGGACTCTTTCAAAAGGATCTGATCCTTTTGATTTTGCACAGCCCTGGCTATAATCCCTTTTGATAAAAGGGTCTTTGCTTCTGATTACAGGAGCACTGTGGGACGTTTGTAAATATGTTTTTATAATTCTGTGTAACGTTGGTGTGCACTCACAGGAAACTGGCCCCCGGCAACTGCTGCTTTCTGTATCGGGCCATGATGGAACTCCAAAGGAACCTTGGGAGTCGGGGAGGGGGGCAGGGGGGGAACAAAGTGTCTGTTCCCTGCAGGCCAGTCTGGTGCTCAGACATTGGGACTCATTGTAAGCTGCCACTGCCAGCACGAGACCAAAGCGTGTGACTTGTCAATGTGCAGCACGACAGCATTAAAGACCGATGCTAAACCTCAGGGGGGCAGTCCTGCGACTCTGTTTGAGGGCTTTGCTGGCTGGGGCTGGGGCGGTGGCTGGGCGTCCCTCAGATGCAGTCAGGTGGGAGGCAGGAGTCCCCTGCGAGAGGGAGAGAAGTCTCCCAGGGCTACGTGGGGAGCAGAGAACGTCCGTCCACACCACCTACATGGACGCGATCCAGGCATCCAGAGAGCCCAATAGATTTGAAGCTCTGTTTTGTGAAGGTTGGGGCTGGAGTTAAGCAGTTCACTTCCCCATGTTCCAGGCAGGGCCTGGTTGCTGGGGCCAAGGGGTGGTGTACTGTAGGGCCTGCCCTGTGATCCCCGTGCACTCCTTTCTTGCTGGAACAGGCAGAGTGGCAGGCAGGCCCTGGCCAAACCAGACCCGAATTCCAGCCCAGGGCTGAGCTCCTCCTGGAGAAGACACATTTCCTGCCCTGGCTTCATTCGCAGGCCGCCGAAGTTGCTTTTGCTTTGTAACTTTTTTTTTTTTAAGAAAACTGGTTTTATTACACAGTAAGTAATTACAGAGGCTTAAAACAGTGGTATTGCTACTTCGCTATGAGATGTCTTAAAAACAGCGTTTAAAATCAATCAAGGAGTGGCTTTCCCTTCCGACTGAAAGGTGACCACTGGGAGCGAATGGGGGCCGGGCTGTCCAAGAGAAGTTTCTGCAAGCAATGGGAATGTTTTAGGTCGTCTTTAAATGGGACTGCTTTAAGATTCAACAAAATATATTCAGCCTCTCCGTTGTTGCAGTCACATTTCCAGGGCTCGGCAGCAGCCACACACAGCTAGTGGCAAGTGCTGGACAGCACAGATCAGAGGGCTTGCCCCCCAAACCTAAGATGGGGCTCTCAGTGAGCCCAGAGGACGCCGTCCCAGTTGGGAGGCGACCCTGAGTGTCAGAGCCATAAGGGAGCTTGTCACAGATGTTTACTGAGCTACCTCAGGCACCAAGATGACCCTTCCTGCGGAATTGGCCCTGGCCTTGGGTTGTAGGCCACCCCTCCCCTGGAGTGCCATCCCTGTGCCCCTGTCACCATTAGGTGGTAGGTCCCTGCAACCTTCCTGTCAAAGTTACCGACACAAAAGCACACAAAACCTCAAAGTGCACACAGTTCTGGGAACTTCTAGAAATCACCTACCCAGCACAGTGGGTGGGGCAGTGGGATTCTTTAGGAACGTGTTCGTGGTGAAAAGGACAAAAAGGACCCAGGTGGACAGAAAACCGGCCCCTCTGACACTGCGTTGTTTTGCCATGGGGGGCCTGGCGCATGCCTCTGTGTGTGTGTGTGTGTGTGTCCCGAGGTTTGGTGTATCTCCCAAGAGACTCCTCCCTCGCTTCCTTGGCTTCCCTTTAGGGGATTTCTTCTTTCCCACGCGGACTCTGAGCACATTCCAGAACTTCCGTGTCAGTCCGTGTGGAGCTGCGTCTTAACTTAAGCCACCGGCCCAGCAGTCATGTTTTAACATCACTTAAACAGTGCAAAACCCAAGATGCACGTTTGGCCTGTGGACAGAAGCGGAGTCCCCTCCCTCCTCCGGGCCTGCAGTTCCCTCAGCTGCTGTCCCTGTACGGACTGGCCACGGCATCACGAGAGCTTTCCCTTTAGAAAAAGAAAAACGATTTTTGTGTGCGCATTCTCTCCAGAGGCTGTTTAAGCATAATTTCTAAGATGTCAGTCTGTTTTTGCCCAGGTAATCAGTCACAGTACTAGACTCTGGAGGGGACAGAATGAAAATCCTCCCCTCCACCCTGCTATTCGAGTCCAGCCCCAACGAATGTCCCCAGTTTCTCAGGTACCTTCCCTGAGTCGCTGCACAAATCAATTTTTCCTTTTACACAAAGGGTATATACTGTGCACTCTGCATTTCCCCCCTCACGTGTGGTGGAAATAGCGAGCTTCCTCATTCCTGTTAGAGGGCCTTTATCCTGCCAGGACTACCTAGCTGGATGTGAAGATCCAGACCGGTGTTCGGTGGCCCCTACCTCTCCCCTAGCCATTGTTCTTGCTTCCAGATTCGAGTCCGGGACAACCACTTGCTAGCTGTGTGACCTTGGTCAGGTGACTCAGCCTCTCTGTGCCTCCATTTCTTCAACTGTAAAACAGGCATAATAACAGTACCTCTTCTAGGATCGTAAGGGTTTTCTGGATATGGAGATAATACACACACACACACACACACACACACACACACACACACACACCAGGACCCAGCATAGAAGAAGCACCATATGAGGGACGCCTGGGTGGCTCAGTGGTTTGAGCGTCAGACTTTGGCTTAGGTCATGTTCTCGCGATTCGTGAGTTCAAGCCCCACATCGGGCTTGCTCGCTGCTGTCGGTGAGGAGCTTGCTTCGGATCCTCCATCCTCCTCTCTCTGCCCCTCCCCTGCTCTCTCAAAAAATAAATATTAAAAATAAAAAGAATAAGCACTGTGTGCCAGTTATTATGTGAAGGTTTCTTATTCCACAGCTGGAAACCCCAAAAGCCTTTGGGGGTGAGTGCTCTCAGCTGAGCTCCAGGAACCCACTTGCCAGGGGATCCCCTGAGACATTCAGCGCACCCTGAGGAAGCTGTACCTGAAGCAGGATCACTCCCATTGCAATCTCAATGTGACAACCAGCTCACTCGAGAGATGCAGAGCACGAGGCTCCAGAGCAGAGCATCACCCTCGCCCCTTGAATCCCAACTCTGTCACTCTGCTGTTGTGTATCCCTGGGCACATGACTTTACCGCTCGGAGTCTCAGTGGCCTCCTTTAAAAAAACGACACAAACGAGGCACAGACTTCATAGCGTTCCAAGTGAAAAGTGGGTAAGTTAATGCGGCAGGGAAGAAGAGCACATGAAATTATGAACTTGGCTTCTGTGCACACTCAAGGGGGTGCTGAGTTCAAGTTCTGCTCGCTGCATTCCCGTGAGAAAATGGCAAAACCTCTCAAAGCCTCAGTTTCCTCCCTTGTAAAACAGGAAGATCCCAGCTAGCTCTCCCTTCTCACTGCCCCCAGGCCAAAACTCAGTTAACCCCTGAGGTCTCTGTGCCACAGACCCGGCACAGAGCAAGTGTGCAATTAACATGAGCAAATATTTCTAAAGTACTTAGTTGAAAGCCTGTCCCGGGTCGTGTTTTTCTTCAATTTTCTTTCTTTCTTTTTCCTTTTCTTTTTCCTTTTCTTTCCTTTTTCTTTCTTTCTTTCTTTCTTTCTTTCTTTC